TAGAATTAACCGGAAAAGTTCATTGGACAAGTTTCAACTTGGGAATGAAGAATGGGGATCAAGTTCAAGGACAACAGTTGGGTTGAGGTCTAGTAGAAACAGAAGAAGCAGTTATCTTGACATGAGCCCAATGGATAAAAGGAAGCCGCATCAGTCAGCAAAGAAAGTATCATGGTTAATGTTGTCAACACATGAGGAGAGCTCTAGATATATTCCCCAGATAGGGGACGAAGTTGTTTATCTGAGACAGGTTTCTCTATATCTTTCTGCTGGCTTTTTTTTCCTTTTTATTTCTTCCTTTGCGCAGAGGAGGGTGGAGCTTGTACCTTAGCGCCACAATACGGCATCCCTAAGTGACCCATTGGTCGCACAAGTTGCTTAAACAGCTTTTCTTGAATAGGGATAGAGCTGCATCTGTTTGCCCTCCCCCCGCCCTGCAATGTCCCAAGCTTGTGCACTGGGCACCCTTGTTTTGGTTTTGTTGTATGAATGTCGATAATATCGCTTACTTTGGTAACCTCCTTTTCTCTTTCCTTTCTTACCAGGGGCATCAAGAGTATTTCGATCTAGGTGGATTGAGAGAAAACCCACCATGGAGGTTTATAAAGGGGAGAATAAGAGCTGTAGAATTTTGCAATGTTCAAGACCTAGAGTATTCTTCACTTGCAGGGTCTGGGGATAGCTGCTGTAAATTGACGCTTCAATTTGTAGATCCTTCTTCTGATGTGTATGGTAAATCTTTTAAAGTGACCCTGCCGGAAGTTACTGGTTTCCCAGACTTCATTGTTGAAAGAACACGCTATGACTCTTCCATAGAGAGAAATTGGTCATGTAGGGATCATTGCAAAGTCTGGTGGAAAAATGAGGGTGAGGATGACGGTAAGTGGTGGCATGGCAGGGTTACGTCTAAACGGTCTAAATCGCCCGAGTTCCCAGACAGTCCTTGGGAGATGTACACTGTTCAGTACAAGAGTGATCCTAGTGATACACAGCTGCATAGTCCTTGGGAGCTTTTTGACGAAAATACTCTATGGGAGCCTCCTCGCATTGATGATAAAAGCAAAAAGAAGCTGAATGCGGCCTTTTCCAAACTAGAGCGATCAGCCGGAAGTCGCCAGGTATAAGGAGAAAAAACCTTTTACTTTTAAATTTTAATAACTCGAAAAAAGAATTTGGCCAATGGCCTCATTTAGTAAACTCTGAAGATTTACAAGGATTTTTATCAACATTGTTGTGTACAATTCAGGATCCTTTTGGGGTTGACAAACTGATGCAACTTCAACAGAAGCCAAAGTTTACAAACTGGTATGTCTTTGTCATCCTTACAGCGTGACTCGTACGTACCGTTGGATTTCCATGTCGTGCACTCTCTGTCCGTCAAACTGATGGTGATGGAACAACTTTTTTTCAAATGCTGTCTGGGTATTGACATGTAGTCTTGTTTTATGGAATTCTCTCAGGTGCGTGGTTCCGATATCTCTTGATGTGATCCAATCTAGGTTAGAGAACGACTACTATCGAAGCCTGGAAGCGCTGAAGCATGACTTTAAGGTTTTGCTGTTAAATGCTGAAACCTATCTCGAGAGCAATGCGGTCAAACGCGCATCAGATAAAGAGCTTTTAGGGAAATTGAAATGCCTATCAGACTGGTTCACAGAGACAATATTATCCTTGTAGGTTGTAGCTCCCATGGTTTTGTAAAGAATTTGAGTCATTAATCTTGATTTTAGGTTTTACCCCCTTCTATTCTTTCTTCCTTAGTTCAATTTTGGGTATTCTGTAGTTAGAGAAATGGTAGTGTAATTTTTTTTTTACCAGGGAATTCATTCTTGTACAGACATTCGGTTTATTTTTGCAATGGGAAAAAAGAGTCAGCCTTGCAAGTCTCGTTTTTTCTCTCGTGATTTTCGCACTCCATTTTTTTCTTCACTCTTGTTTTCGCCTCCTGATACTCCTTTGATTTATTTAAAATAGAAGTGCGAAAATCACTTCCGATTCATTACTTGTATCCGGGGTGGATTTCACCTTCCCCGCCCCGGGATTTCACACAGAAAAATGGCCGCGCCTGTTACCCTTTGTGATTCGAAACTGCAAGGAAGCATAGTATTGTGGCAAAAACAAAAGTAATATTTGAATCGACACCAAATTGGATGTCAAAGGATGGTCTGAACAAATGCAGAAGTGCCTTCAACACAAAGTCTTTAGAACTAATCTCCATCCCAGTTACATTTTTGGAAAACGATACATTCGTTTTGAACAACATGTGTTTCCGGTAGAAGGAGAAGTGAGAACATTAAGTGGGGGTCTTGAATCTTAGTCTCGCCACCTGTGGCCGCAGTTGGGGTTGCAGCAAACAAAGAACAATGTCATACCCTCCTCTCCTCTAGCAGTTGCCTGCACATGGACAATCAACTTACAGAATTAGCAGCAGTTATAAATCTCCATTATATAGAGTAAACAAACAGCTATGAGGTGCAAGTTTATGGCACGTGACGTCAGCTGACATTTCAAAATGGTATCACTGCATGTATGGTCTAAGCGGACATATATGTTGAATCCCACGTCGGCCATACAAAAAGAAAAGTAATAGTTTAAATATCCTAACCCCACTCTAACTAATACCGAGGCTTTTTGTGATAAAACCTCATACCTGACGGATTGTACAGATGGTAATTACTAAGTTGAGGACAATATCGGTGTTGTTGAAAGTGGGCCGTATGGCCTGTCTCTTTGATAATTCTACAATATACCCCCCAGAGACGGAAAGAATCCGACTTCCCAGTGATACAATGGTGGAAATTTGGTCAAAACAAGAACTCGTGCTGAATACAAGTTAAGCGTCTTGTCCAAGAACCCACACTCATGGTCGCTCATTTAATAGAGACTTGTTAAATAGTCAACTGAAATCTGAATCCAAAGGCGGGAAGCAATAATCCATGGAGTTCTAAAACTTTACGAACTCCTGAAAAAATCTTTTAACCTTGATGCATTTCTAGAGTTAGCTAAACCATAGTAATAGCAAATAACGTCATGAACCCAATTGTCTAATGATAAAGAGAGAGTTGGAATTTCATCAAACAAGGGACGACTTGGAATATTTAGCCTTGCGCTCTTGAACACCAAAAATTAAATGAAAACTAGCAATAAAATTCACCACAACAGACAGAGGATAGGGCATATATAACCTGAAAGAATACAGCTTCTCCATGTTCGCACTTTGCACAACGCACGGCTTTAGTTCGAGGAAGAGTAGGATCTGCCGCTACATCCTGCAATATCTGAGTGTGCTCGCCAACGGGGTGGTGTATCTCATTTCTATAGACACAGTTGTTCTCAGCAACCTCCTGCAAACAAAGAAAAAACATAAAATCTAATAAATTCATAAAACATTCTCTAATGTATGGTTCCTTTTCTTGTCAGCCCTATGAATTAACTGGTCACCTTAATTTATATGTTAAAAGAACAACTAAATAAAAACGAACAGAGAAGAGTGCAAATTATCGGAATTTTGTTTTCGGGTTCTAGCAGAAGAAATTAATAGCAAAATGGAAAGACATTGGGAACCCTAACTCAATTCCAAAATGTGGGTTTCAGAACAATCTACATTTGTAAAAAGGAAGAGGACTAATACAACTTACTCAAAAGAAACCAAGAAAAAAGTTCCATCCTTGTAAGACGCTTGAGTAGAGGCCAGATTAACCTCAGGTTATGGGAATTAATTATCTTAGTCCTAATTACCCAAATGGATTACGAAGCATTAGGGAAAATTGAAGAAAGTCGAGGTTCCACCATAAAATGAAGGGAACTTTAACGAAAAGCTTATGGTACTGTTCACTTTAACGAAAAACCACATTTTTACACTAAAAAGTCAATCCTGGTACTATTCACTTTACCCTTTATTTTATCCTTATCTTTAAAACTCAAAGTTTTCAAGTTTTTTTCATTAGTTTTCCTTAAAAAGAATTGACAATATAGAAAGTACAGTTACTTATATTATAAGTACATGCAAGAAATTTTTTTTTTCTTGACATGGGATTAATACTATCGACACGCACCTCACGTGTGGAGAAATGAGAAGTTCCAACGTAAAACTAATTGGCAATACGAGGAGTAGCCCAATTAAGCACATGCAGGTCCCATCTTTCCCGTTGGATTAATACTCCCAACACAAACCACAGCACTAAAATTGAACAAATCATGCAAAAAACTTGCAAAAGAAAAATGAGAGAAAGTGCTGACCTGGTGATCGCAGTTGCGGCAGGCGTAGAGGAGAATCTTATGCTCCTTGTCCTCCTTCGGGTACAGAATGTTGTTACTGAAAACTAACAAAGTTTAAAAGGAAACTTCACCAAAAAAAGATGATAAACTGAAATTAAAAATTAAATACAGTCTGGTGGGATTTACAGACCATTCGCGGCAAAATTTCATGGTACTCATCGTGGACAAGCACTGAGTTTTAGGGCTTGGGAGCTCTCTCTCTCTCTCTCTCTCTCTCTCTCTCTCTGTGAGTGTTCTGATTAATGGCGGGTTTTCTGCTCTTCTTCTTCTTCTTCTGGTGGTTTCTTTCTTTACAAGTTTAGATGTTTCTGGCGGCACTATAAAATTAAAAATAGTCTGCTTCAGTCTTAAGCGTAATTCTATTTAAGGGTATTTTAGGTAAACTACAGACGTGGAGGTATAAACAGTAAAGCGCCAAAGGACTTTTTACCTTTTTTTTATTTTAATTTTTTTAACATATAGAAACGATATATTTAAACATATAGAAACGATATATTTACACGTCGAGAGTGAGAATTAAATTCATTTCAAATTCGTTATTTACGATATTCAAACTTAATCTCAAACACAAGTAATGTTAGGCCAATTAACTAGAACCCTTCCAATATAATATTAGAGTAATTTGATTTGTCAAATTATTTTGAACAGCTAAGAATACAATAGTGAATAGCTAAGAATGCGCTCGATGAGAAGCCATCACGATTTCTGAAAGAATCATCGACTGTTACGAAACACTCATTTGGGCATATGCCGATAGCCAGTGGTACAATCAACTCGCTCTCACAAAGAAACAACATTTCAAACAAAAACGCAGGCTTCCATCGTCAAACCAACTTAGTTTTTGAAGAACAATAATGGATACCAAAGAAAATCTTGATCTATAGAAACAGCCACGGCAAAGTACGGTACAAGTTCAAATACTGCAAGAGCGAGAAGAAAGATATCGCAAGGAAACACCTACAAAGATTATTTTGGTCTAAATTCGCAACACGGAAAATCCTTTAGGACGCCTCAAAATCACAACTGAACTAAATCGAAACACGACACATGTTGAACCAAATACACAACTACTCTTCACTATGCTGCTCGATCACCTCATTTAATGCTTTCTGCTGTGCCTCTTGCTCTTCTTCCGGCTCCTCCTATCATCAGAATCAGATTCGGAAACTGACTCAGAATCAGAAGATTCAGATGATGAGCTGTACCTTCTTCTACGCCTTGCCATCTTTTGCTTCTTTTTCTTCCTTTGGCGCCTCCTGTCCCCCTCTGAGTCAGAAGATGAACTGTAATCTGAACTACTCTCCTCCGAAGAAGAGTCAGATCCAGTAACTGATGATGCCCCACTATCAGTCTCAAAAACTGAAGCCTCGCTATCGCTGCCAGAATCAGAAGCTGACCGATGCTTCCTCTTGCTTATTTTTGGCTGCTTTTCACTCTTCTCTTCCTTGATTTCTGGACCGTCCAAATCATACGATATTTCAACCTTCATCTTCAGTTTAGGATTTTTGAGTTGCTGGGTCCTAGACGGTCGCGAGATGTAAACACGTTCATTCTTGCATTCATATGTCCAATGCCCAGGTTGGTAACACTTCTGGCATTGTGAAGCTGCACCACCAACAGTAGATACATTTGACTTGAGGTCTTTCCGTTCACCCAATCTCACAGCCTTTTCAGTACTCATCAAATACATCTGTCTCTTGGCTTCCCTTTTCTCCTGCCATCTGCTGGGTCCTTCTTCCTTCTGCCCATAAGCATTAACATTCCGAGCAGCTGCAGCAGCCGCCCTTTCAGCCTGAGCTCGACTAAGACCTTTTGCAGCACTCATGGCTGCAGCCTTGATCCTCTCCGCTGCAGCTTGAGCTTTCTCTTCTTTCTTACTCGACATGTTCTAATTCACAATGTTCAAATCCGAATACAAGCAATTGCCTACTCGACAAATGCCAACTGCCTGAAGTTCCAAAAAAAGTATCAACACCACAATCTCCAAAGCACTCACACTCTGCATTTAAATGATAATTAGGGCATTCACATTCATTGAATATTGCCATGCCCTGGTCAACAAAGTAAGAAATCCCGAAATAAAAACAAGTATTTTGCTTTTCAGTAAATATAAAAGGCCAGAAAAAAAAACATTTAAATCAACTAGTTTTAAAACACATGGTATACACAGAATGCAGCATTAAAACCGACAAAACTAACCAACTTTGTATGGCTGGTAGAACTTTCAAACTGCCAAAATCAGTCAACACAAATCATAATAAACATTTCATTCACACACAAAATCTACTCCAAAATAGAACTAAGCTTATCGGATGGTAATTTGTCCACGATAAAAGCGACAAGAGTTACACAAGACCTCCCTGTAAAAAGTAGGGCTGATAAATCTACAAGAATCCTCGGACTACATATGTAACGGAAACGAATCCATATTCGAACATTAAATATTTATGCTTTGATATACCTTAGTATAAACAAAACCTAGTACATTAAAAACTTTTCTTACGTCGATTTCTGAACTTAATAATTCATTCAATCGGCATCATCAGTTTTAATTCAAAATGTAACCTACAATTAAGCATTTTCTTCAACAAGACTATCAATTCAACCTAATTCTGAGTTGAGGAAACTGCAATCTATACACTTTTCCCCCTCAACCTACTATGGTCGATAATTCCAAACAACATCGAATTACAGCAATACTTGAAAAACAAGACCCGAAATTTCCCCCAAATCCCACAATCGAGAACCCAAAACAATTAAAAAGAGCATGCTTTCCCTACCGATCTGCTCACAAAATGTTGCCGAGCCGGAGATTTGGCCAATTCAAGGAAGGACCTTTACAGCAATAAATTTGCACCAGAACCCTAATCACTAGTAAAACAATAAAATAAAGAAAAATCCAAGAAAATAGAGAGAGAGGTTACCTTCTTCTGTTCGGGTATCGGCGAGGGAACTTGAATTAGGGCAAGAAACGCAACGCTGTCGATTTGGTCTCGAGGGTCAAGTGTGGTGCTTTGCACCTTTTTAATTAAGATTTACCAAAAAGGGGTCTTTTTTTTTTTTATATCGACACGAAAAAAGTTGATTTTTTTTTTTTTTTTTTGGTATACACGCAAAAAATGATTTTGACACGGCTTAATTAGACATTTGATTGGGTAGCCTTGTATTACCGTTTCTAATCGAAGAGACTAAATATAGTCTTGTTCAAAATTTTAGTCTGATAAAAAATTTCTTGTAAACTATAATTCTGAACAAAAGTTATGTTTAGTTCATTTGATTGAAGATGATCTAACAATATAAGCGGTAATATAAGTTCTCATATTCCTCTTAAAGTAGAGAAGTTATTGCTTTTCAATAAAAAAAATGTTTGTTTATGACGGTAATCTTATCACAAAGTTACCATGTTACTAATTAAGATGTTATAAAATGAATAAACGAATTATACTTGGGAGTATACTAGTATTAAAATTACTTACATGTTATGAGTGGATTGTTAACACTAAACTCTATTATTATAATCACATATTAATTAGTTTATCTATTGTATTGGACTGCATGGTCTACAATTGGTCATCAACCACTTGATCTAAGTACCTAAGACCCAAAATTGTTATTTGGTGTTGGGATCAACTAAATTGAAGATCAACTCAAACAAGTAAGGAATTTTCTTCACAATCAATTAAAGATGCTTTCATCATCATTCCAATATATTATATCCTAATTAAATATCTTGGGGAAATTCTTTCCTTATTCATCCTACTACGGATGACACAACCTGACCAATAGAAAGCTGCCCGTGTAAGCAAAATCTTACACCTAGGCCGGCCACCTCCTTAAAAATACTCTATCTACAACATTTATTGGTAAACATTGGCCACACACTTAAGATCTAATTAATGCTCACTCTTTTTAGAGTTACTGAATTAGGCATCAGAGATTCATTGGCCAACCTCCCACCTCATGGGCTCGTGAGGCTTTGATTTTGATCAAAGGTGTTTATTATTTTGTAAGTACAAATTTGTCAAAATTGAAGTGGGCATATTTTTATTGCCATAGTAGCATCCTACGACAATGATGCATAACATAGCGCTACATGATGTGCACAAGACGCCATTGTCATATTAGTTGCTCTCAGTCTTGGACCCAAGACGGTTTGCACATTGGGATCATGTAACTTGTATTTTGCAGTACCTGCAACTGATTTTGTTTACATGGAAGGTGGGCAATAACCAAAAATCCACTTTTATTGGGTCCTGTGGACGGAAATGGATCATCTCCGCATCTTTTTCATTAAATCTACTAAATTGGAGATCCGGACTATTGAAATTTAATCTAATGGCTACAAACAGGGTCCATTTTAAAAGTTATAATAATGTTAGCCATTTAATCAAATTTTAATAGCCCGAATCTCCTGATTTGGTGAATTTGGTGAAAGGGATCCGTAGATGATATTGCTGTAAATATTATTATTAATCATAGATTCATAGCTGTCCATTTGGGGTTAATATGTAAGTAGTTAGAATTTTTTTGTACAGTAAATCATACAAATGAGAAGAAAAAAAATAAACGCTTTGATTTCTCCTTCTATAAAGTAAACTTTATAGGCTTCTAATGATAAAATAAAATAAAATAAAATCACTTTGAGTTCTCCTAATCTCTCGTATCCTTACATTTCTCTGTACTCTTTTTTATATTTTATTTCCAAAATGTTATCAGCATAAATGTTTCTTAATTCTATACTCTCTTTTTTTTAAATTTTAAATTCTGCTTTTTTTTATATTTTATTTTCAACAAGCTTATTCTCTTAGTTTTAGTTTTTATCAAATAGATAAGAGAATGGCACAAAACTACAAAATCAAATGAGTGCAGAAAGAACTGTTCTTTGAAGGATTGTGCTCCCTATACATTTCTAACTAGAACTTTTGCACTGATAACACCAATTATTTATCCTTTAATCCTACATATATATTTTTAAATATTTTGGCCTTAGTTGCAGATTCATTCCAATGAAAATACGTTGTAATATTCATAAATATTCCATGTTTTTTTTCCTTTAATTTTCTGAAGTATGTACTGTTTTTAAGGGCTCGTGCATGAAACCCTAAAACTGGGACGAGGGTAGGACTGCGGCTCCGCCGATACCTGAAAAAGGGTCCTCTGTCGAGCTGGATGAGGATGCTCATAACAAACTGATGAGCTACTTTCATGAATAATGATCTTAATATATAAAAAACAATGCTTAGTTAGGCCAAAAAGGTTGCCCGACTACGAAAAAGGAACCTTCGATAACCATCATCCGAAGTCCTCGATACTAAACCAGTAAGTTAAAGCATCCAGAAAGCAAAATCCTAACCAGAAGTTCCTTAAACAAGAGATGGATGGCAGTACAGTCGCATCTCTACATTATCAAAAAAAGAAGAAGGCGGTGTTGAGAATTAAGCTGCCTACTAGCATTAAGATCAATCTGCAGATGTTAATCCTGCAGTTCAAATTGAGAGGAAGCTGAGAATCAAGAGATGAACAACTTGCCAATTTTAGAAAGGAGCCGTTGAGTTTGAATTGCAACGGCTAGTTTCATTTTCCATTGTTAGAAAGTTCACAGCTGGTATTTTTGTTTTATTTAGTCGTACTATGCATTCTCATCCCCGTCCAGATGGATGGATGAGATCCTCCAGAGCCCTTAGTGGCCGGAGAAGAGTACTAGATCCCTAAAATGTAGGATTTGGTTTTGACCAAGTTGAGGGGCATATAGCCTTTGTAATTTCATTCTTGGAAATATATGAAATATACAGACTCTTCCTCTCCTCCTTATTCTCTCTCGAAAATCACAGATTCATTGAAACAATCTGTAAAAAGTTTCAATCTTTACTAAGATCATTAAATCTATCAGGATGCCTGGTACCATTTCAAACAGGCGGGACTATATATGATCCCAATCAGCAGCCTAAAATATCCCAGAAAGAAGATTTGCAGCGGTTGATATGGCAGCTCCGGTGATAGCGCCATGCACAATCTGCTCATGGGACGAACCCTCCGATGTGAGGGCCAGGGCCACTCCTGTAATTGCTCCCGCAACTGCACTGTTTTTCTGCACCGAAGAACCAAGCAACAATGGCTATAAGCAAAATACAAGTAGCAAGATCTTAGTAATGCTTGCAGCGTTCAATCCATGATAGAACATAGTTAAGCATTACCCAATCGTGAGCTCCACGAGCCTCTGCCAGGCCATATGTGAGACCTGAATACACCCCCGCAGCCAGCCCTGAAAATTAAAATGTGTCAACTTCCTTCCAATCGCAGTGGTACATGACACTGTCTCCAAACTGCGCACACGTAATTGAAAGCAGGAAAAACTGAAACCTCTAGCTTGTCTAATGTCCATACTAGAAAAAGGTTACTTCGGTACAAAACGAATTACAAACATTGTTAGCGTTAGCGTTAGCTAAGGTACTATGTAAAACTGATGCATATATTTCATGTTTTGCAATTTAATTTAGAAAATGTACTTACCCCATTGTAAGGATTCCTTTCCTGTATTCTTCACCTATAAAACATTGTGACAATGAATCAGTGACTACTAACAGCATCACAACTTCGTTAGACCTTATTCTAGCTAGAATTCGAAGAAGTACAAAATTCACAATGGTGGACAAACCAAAAAGCTCCAATGTAGATAAGGCCAGACCACCAGAGCATTCAATTATTTATGAATAATTTGTGGTGGTAACATTAGAGCACCTCTAACATATAATCGATTTGTAATTTGAGTGTCACTACAAAGTACAGAACCAGACGGCTTCTCTATATAACCAAATCTTAGTAATAATTGGAATTATATACTTAAATGGGAATTTTCAACTCACCATAGCTTCAAGAGATTTTCTGTTGTTTTCACCTGCAAAGCACATAAACAACCGCTTGAGACACAATTGTTCAATATACCAACAACTGATGGACAAACACAGACATAATATTACAAAGGTTTCTCATATTCCACATTCGTAATTTGGGCATTCTGCATCAATAAAAGTTGTAAAATTAACCATGGAGTAGTTAGCTGCATACCTCTGAGATCAGGGAATCGTTGTTTTTTGTTGCCTGAGACTGAGATTTCGGGTGGAATACCATTGGTACTTGAATCGAATCCTGCACATAACGATGAACATGAATGCATAGAAACGCATCAACGTTTATCTGTCTCTCTAGGAGGAATTAAAATGACAATATGAAGTATAATCAAATCCTGCACATTATTACAATCAACACATGCACGCATGCATCACCACTTAAATGAATAAATCAAATAAAACCACAAACAGATAGACAACATTAATTACATGCGGATAGCTCAAATCCCAAATATTATTTGTCCCATCAAGTTATTCAGATACTTACTTAAAATTTAAACGAATGGTAATTATACATCCACAATACACAGACACCAAGCAATTCGAAAGTCGAAGGAAACAGATAATGGTTACCTTCAGTGGCTGTGAAATAAGCCTCACGCGACACGGCCTGAATTGCTCCGATCTGTGAATTGCAGCAACACAACCTTATTAACAAAACGCAGAGTACGTACTTCTGTTATATATCACAAACACACACACGTGTATATATATATATATATATATGTGTGTGTGTGTGTGCGCGCGCGCGCGCAGAGAGAGAGAAGGGTAAGGAGAGGAAACCCCAGCAGCTTTGACGAAGCTCTCGGCGATGCGGTTGAGGAGAGGGTGGCCGAGGTCGGAGAAGCCACCCTTGTCGAAGCTACGCAGCTCCTGCAGCAACGACGGCTTTGTTTCCAAACTACTACTGCCGCTGCTCGTGTTCAACATCTTCACACTATTATCTGTTTGATTTGTTTTATCTGTCTGCTCTTCCACCAAGAGATTCAACACAAAGTGAAATTTGAGGTTATTCTGATGAGTGATGAGATTGCACCGGTGAAAAAGAAGAAGAAAGAGAAAATGAACAAGTGAGGTAGACACGTACTCATGCAACCCGACGTACGTGTCTTTCTTCTGCGTGATCACACTGCGAACTCGGTGGCCAGCGACTTCTTCCAAATGTTTGCCACCTGTCCCCTGTTGACCTGTTTCATAAACAAACATGAAACATCCGTGCACCCAGGACGACCGTACATCTCACATTTTCATCACTACCATATACTCTACCCTTCACTTCCGAACATGATGAAACCACAACATCCTTAACTTCAGACCCATTCTGTTATTCTTTGGTGAAATTTAGAATAAAATTATTGATTCCATTTCTCTACAAGATTTATATACTAGAGTCCCATTCTTTCGATCACGGATAAAAATCGTGAATGATAGCAATCAATTCAGTTCATGTCTTAAATTTCACCCGATTGTGCAAATGCGGATTAGGACAATTAATTACGCAATCTACTTCGACCATACACCCAAGTTTTAGTCCGCTCCTCCAAAGTAGAGTTCTACAGATTATCGTCCCGTCAAAAACTTTCATTCCAAGGTAATATTCATTCAGATAACCAAATTTTTATAATGCTACACTTACCATCTATTTATATCATCATTTGTATCATCTCTCTAATAAATGTAGGATCCATCAATGCATATAAGTCTCATCTCATTTCTTGCGGGATAAAGCTACCAACAAATTAAAACATACAACACTTTCTTTGGGCTTGCATGTTATTAAGGCAGAAATCCTTCCAAAAGTTGCCTTGGATAATTAAACTCGAAACTGATTTACAGTGAGCTACAAAACGAAAATTTCGCTTCCTCACCCAAAACCCTACTACATTTTTAAGGGAAAAAATGGCCTCTAAAAAACTCAAGCTCACTCCCTCTCTCGATTACGACCAACCCACAGCACACCCCCACCACAAAAGTACTTTTAGCATTAAAAAAACAAAGAAAAGAAAACACAGAGGAACAAATTAAAGAAAGCACAAAACTTGGATATAGAGAATCAATGCTGATGAATGTTTTACAAAAACACCAAAGTACTTCAAAGCCCCAATAAGGCCAAGTGAAGAGTTGATGACAGTACCCCCACACTGGATGACTTCTTTTGTTGCCTTTTTTTTTTTTCTCCGCGTCGCAATGGCACTATACAGTATTCGCTCCTACCATTGTCGATGCAGGCCATAGACCAAATTCATCCTCTCTTTCTTCTATGTCGGTTCGCTTGCTCTCTTCCAAAAGTATGTTCATCTGCGGGCTGGCACCGCTTTCTGGCACCAAGCACGCATTCACAGTTTGCATAAAGAACACGTAGTAGTAACCCCATTGGCTAAATATAACTTACGACCCATTTACCGCCATTTCCGGTGAAGATTTTGGTGGTATCAACGCGCAGTCCTCTCCACCCAACTGTCTATTCTCCGAAGTGCCATGCAAGTGATCCGAGCAGCCTCTAGAAGTAGTAGGCTCATTTTCCCTATTATCTGCATCATCTGAATTGCTGTTATCAGAACAGTTTTTAGAAACAGCACGCTCATCATTCTCTTGATTTTTCCCTTCGCGTGAGTTGTTGACTCCGTCAGCCGTGCGAGTTGTATTGATGCTGCTTGCAATTTTCTTATTAGGTAGCACTGCCTGGCTTAGAGTTGTACACAAAGCAGCAAACACACTTTCTTTTGGCTTGGAGTTTTTACCCAACCGTTGCCTCTTTGCTAGCTCAGTCTCCCTATCCTTAGAAGCCAATTTCCGCTTCAACCTAAGGGACTCCATTGTTCCTTCATCTTCATCAGAAGGTTCAGGATGTTTCCTGGGCGGTGGCTTGTAGTCTTCGTCGTCCTCATCATCATCATAATCTACCAGCCCGACAGACCTTGGACTACAATAATCAAGATGAACATATGGGCCATATAGCCAAATTCTGAAAATGCACTCTGATAAATCTACACTAGAACAGTGTACTACCTGGATGGTGGATAACTTGCAGCAACTCCATTGGATAAAACAGGTTGAGGTTGAGCCTGTACTTTTTGGGTATTTGGCATTGATGCAGATGCTGTATCTTCTTCATCACTGATTACCAAGTTCCATGTTCAGTGGCTATGGGTAACAAGATAGCGGGAAAAAACACTGTCAATACACAATAAACATCCAACAATAAAAACATACCTGTCCTCATTGAAATATTCTTCTTCTTCTTTCTCCAAAGCTCGCTCATCATTTCGTTTTCTAGGGTCTGACACATTAGCGGTGCCTTTGGTTCCAAAATGTTCTAGGCACTGCAAAAGCGCTTGTCAAATACAAAAGCTCTAAATTTAGGAGTGGAGAAAGTATAGACGGAGCATAGTACCTGCTCATATTTTACTTTGAGGGAGTGAACAGATGCAAAATTCTCAAATCTGACCAACTGATCCCAGAATGAATCAACCAAGTATTTAACCAAAGACTTCAAGTTTTCCTGGAAAAAGAAAAGAAAAAAACAGATAAGATGATACCTTCAAGACGTACTTTAGCTCCAGATTCTAAGTCTAAAAGAGAGTGGCACCTTGCGGATGAACTCAAAAAGTTCTAAAACAGCCGAGTTCAGCAGGTTATATCGATTTCCATTATAAACAAATGCATCGACAATTGGCTTGAGAAGGTTGTTCTTAACAATATGATTTACCAGATGCTCATCCTGCAGAATCATGCATTACCCAATTGTTACATGAACAACTTAGGCCAAAAAGAAAAGAAATAAAGCATACTTAACATATCAGAGCAGGTAGAGAGACATAAAGAGAGATAGAGAGAGACTAAATGTACAACAGGGCACAAAGATAATAATAAACACTCTTATATGTACTGTGGAAGCTGAAAAAATTGTGCAGAACCAAGAACGTTTTTGAAATGTAACATTCTTTTTATCCAGAATCCCCACTACCATCATACTGATAAGAAATTCTCATATGAGTCCACTATGCTCAAATCAGAACAATATATACCATTACAATGCATTGACTTCTAGTCTTGCATGGCAATTCTCTCGTCTTAACTTCACTTTTGTTGAAGCACAAGGCATAATGTACTTTACATTTACATGCAAAATTTTTTTGAAGTTTCTGCTATAGATAATGGGTCCAAGACAACAAAACTGATCACCCTCCAGATCATTTCGGTCTATTTGAAATTTTAGCTGAGCTGAAGGACAAATAGAACCTTTTAAACAACTTTTTGCAAAACTTTTTTAACAATCAACATAAACTCACATGACGTGAAAGAATAGTGCGAACAAATCGAACTGCAGCAACAACCAGATACTTTTCCCTTCTTTTTGTAACCAACAAAACTTTATCCATCACATTATTAAGCAGAAAGTTGCACCTACAAATGAAAAAAAAAGGCAAACATTCCAATGTCAAAGGTCAGCAGCAGAAAAATCCATTTATGAAAATTGTACAAAGGATCCAAAATATTACTTTATTCTGAATGGATGGTGAAGTACACAAAAGCATAGCAATTCGCATATATTTGATAATATTTCAGGCTTCGCGACACTCTGACTTTCAACCCTTCCACCAGAGATGGAAGATCTATCAGTTGATTGACCATTGCCTTCCAAAGGACATGACGCTGTTATAACATCAATCAACTGCCCCAGATGCTTCTCATAGAATATCTCGATAATTGCATCTCTCTGTAGCAAATCAAACAAGATAAAAGACTCAATAACCAAGTCGTGTAGTACCAGTATGAAAATGAGGCATTTGAATTTTTTTTTTCTTACATGCAAGTTTTACCGACATGATTTTCCAACAATTCAGCAGAAACATAATAAACTACAAACCAACATTCAAATTGTTACACCCGCAGAAATAAACCGTATTGCAAAGTCCATACAAAGCTTTATATATGAAAGTTCTGAATTTGTGATAATCCAAAAAATTCATCATATTCTACATGAAAGAACAATCCAAAGAATTATGAGATGGACTAGAACAAAACTGGTCATGACAAGTAACTTGAATAAAAAAGGGTGAAAAATCATTAAAATGAAAAGGAAAAAGCAATGACCTGGCCCAAGTAAATGATAAAAAAGCAATCAAACATATGAAATCTACAATTAACCATAACCCTAGAAGCATAGAATGAATTACTCCACTTATGATGATACTAGAAAGAGGCTCAAGGCAAACAGGGTAAAGGAAGACCTTGGAAGACTTGGAAAGAGGCTTTAAGAAAAGGCATGGAGTACTTGGAGCTAACAGAAAACATGGCACAAAACAGAGCGCAGTGGCGTTCTAACTTCTAGGATTCATACAGCAGACCCCACTTAGTGGGCTAAGGCTTTGTTGTTGTTGTTGATGAAGATCCTAGTAAAGGTAATCTCCAATATGATGGTTCAATAACCTAAGGCATAAAGCCCCTCGTTATTCTTCTGATATCTCCATAAGTATTAAAATTATGCGTATAATATGCAAGGGAAGATGATTATTTAAGAGTTAATGAATATAAAAAAAAGCTCATAACGAAAGCTCCTAAAAGAGAAAAGAAGGCAATTAATATCCAACAAATGGTGTCAACATGAGCACTAACAACTTCTGAAGTAAATATTACATGTACGTATTTGAACACAAGTACAAAGAGAGATACATAAAAATTTACATACATAAGTACATATATGTTATGCCCCTCTAACCTAAGTGGACCTACTGGTGAAGTTAATGGTGTAGTGCCAGTGGTACATAACTGTAAGAGCCGTTGCAGTTCAAGAATGAAAAATAGTATATATACTATTACTATTGGACAAGAGAGGAGAAGAAAGATGATATCCACAAAAATATTTTAAATTTAAGGGAAACTATAGGTGAGTTATACGAAGAGTGACAGTAATAATTCATTTAGCAAACAAATATCTATAGTAGATACCTGAGCTCCTGACAATGTGTAAGAATCTAGTAGACTACGAAGAATTTCAAGAAACTGGCAATGCATGTCCTCTCCGAAATCTGTAATCATTCCTTTAACCTGTGTAGACAATTAAATATTAATATTGACAGAGAGAATCTAAACACTTGCATCAGAATCTAAAAATTTCAAGTGACGGGGACCGGTGTTGTCAACTAAACAGGAAGCAGCCAAAGAGCGTCAATGTCTTTTCCACACCAAATGCTTAAATGCAGACATCAGATTGTACATATTAC